AAGGTACGCGACTATTTTGTAAGGATGACGTCGTGTTAGTGTGGCCAATCATATTTGGGATCGGTATGGTCGAAAAATGGAATTTTGGACCGGGAATGGAAAATTACCGTTTTGCCCCTAAGCCCCATGCCTTAATTTCGAATTATTGGAGGGTATATTGGACTTAATCAGCCCTATTAGTGCCGAAAATGTTGGACAATAAAGCCCCCATCACCCTTGCTCATTCACCAAATTGCCCTTAGATATTTTGATCAAGATGAGATCATGGCCATTGGTTTTGGATTGAGTTGATTGGCCTTCAAATTTCAGCCCTTGATTTAGATTCTTAGTGGAGTGGTTAGCATGGTAAACGTTAGTGGGGTTGGCCACCTACCCCACTCAAGCCCTTGTGATAAACACTCTCTCTTACTCTCTCTCCCCTCATTCTCTCCCTCACCGGCCGAAGTCCCCCTCTCACTCCCTCTATTTTCTCTCCTCCCTTGGCCACGTGAGGAGCCGCCGGAGCAGCCCAGCCGCGGCCACGCCGCCGTCGCCTGCCGGGACCGCACGCCACCGCCGTCCACGAGCAGCCCGTCGCCACACCACCACCATTCGGTCACCCCATTTCCTCTCCTTCTCTCTCTCTTTCCGTCGCCACCACCAGGCCCCGCCTTGGCCGTGTAGCACTGCCGCCGAGCGCCACTCACCGCCGCCGGCCCGTGACCGCCCACACACCACCACCTCAGCCGACCTCATCTCTCTCTCTCTCTCTCTCATTTCCGTTCCACCACCATCACCAGCATCCCCCTTCGCCGTTTGGATCAACCATGAATCGCCCGCCGTCGCCGCCACCAATCGCCACCGTGGGAGCCGCCGGCGCCGCCGTGGGAGCCGCCGGCGCCGCCGCTGAACCGGCGTGAACCAGCCACCGTCCAGCCCGTTTTCCCCCTTGCTCAGCCCACATTTGAAGCTTAGGACCTTGGTGAGTGGAAACCCTAAACCCTAATTAGGATTATGTGCATTTCTGGATAAGTTTAGGGGTTAATTAGAGTATTTTAGGGGTTAATTATTGACTGGTAATGTGATGATTTGGATAGCCTAATGTGTTATTTTGAAGGTGGATTAGAGGCCTAGAACGGCCTGATTAGTGGCTGATCATCGTGGACTTGGTTGGACCTTGTACGGCTAATTTGTGGTTTAAATGCGATTTGCCATGTGTGATTGGTTGGACCGTGTAATGGCTGAATTGTGCATGGTTTGAGATTAATTATGTGATGCCATGTTGAGTGCTTAGTGTGGCCGAAATATGAGAGACTTGGTGGGCCATGGGCATGTGCGATTCTAATGATTTAATTGCATGATTTTATGTGCCAAGTTACGCACCGTGACCGAATTGCATGGATTGGTGAATTGAACATGATGTAGTGTGAATTGAGCCAATTATGTGGATCTAATTTGATGCTCAAATTACTGAATGATATGGCCATGAATTGTGCATACTGAGTATTGGCATAACATGTGAATCATGCGAGTGTGCATGGACATCATTGAGCATGTGATCACCTAAAATGCCATGATGCGTTTTACGCAGGGTTCAGATAATAATTGGTGGAATGTGTACGTGTGATCACATAAACCCTGATGCGTTTTACGCGGGGTATTGAACCCGTCCTGAGGCGTTTAACGCGGGATGATGCCCGGACTATCGGAAGATGGCCAACCTGATGCGTTTTACGCGGGTTGTGTCATGAGCCTGATGCGTCTAACGCGGGCCGGAGATTGATTGGGAAGTGATGGACCTGATGCTTTTTACGCGGGTCGGACCTGATGCGTTTTACGCGGGTCGGAAGTGAATTGAGAAATTAGCACGTGTGCAAGTGTGCATTGATTAGTGCAAGCATGAGCATGGCATTGGCACGTGTGCAAGTGTGCACAAATGAGCATGAGCATGTGCATGGTAATGGCACGGGTGCAAGAGTGCATTAACGAGTGCAAGCATGTGCATGGCATGTGTTCATAGCCAAGTGATTTCGTGTATGTGCCATGATTGAGTTCTTTGTTATTATCGTTGTCATTATATGCCTAACCTGCAGGGCTGAATATGTGTTGGATTTGGGCCCGAGGGCCTAAGTCATTTGTGTACTGAACTGTTTGTTTAGTTAGTACTTGTCTGGAGGTGCATGTTAGCCTAGTTTAGGTTTAAGGGGCCCACTCGCTGAGATTTATTCTCATTGTTGTTAAAACCCCCCTTTTCAGACCCCCGACCTTGAGGATGGCAGGCGTACCGATACGTTTTGGGATCCCGTACCGCATAGAGCGCTCGGTGATCGAGTATCCCGTTGGGAACGAGGAGACTTATGTTAGGCATTTTACTACCGTTTGGATCGACTTGGGCGAGCCACAGTTCCAGGTTCATCAGTACCCTGGTTGGTGTTTTCGGGACTAGTTCGACATTTATGGGCCTCTTAGGACTTTTGATGTTCCGATAGACGGGTTAGGTCATTGGGATCCGTAGTCAGTTGATGGGGAGGTGGCCAACCCCGAAGCCGTGTCCAAGGAGGATTCTGACCCCCGACCCGTCATCTTCGAGATGGATTTCGTCCCCGAGGAGGAGGAACTGATGGAGTGGGAGTCCCATTCCGAGCCGGAGCCGATGGAGCTGGAGTCAGAGCCGGAGGATGACCCCGAGGAGGAGCCAGTGGAGGTTGAGTCCGAGCCCGAGTCTATGGACTCCGAGTCCAAGTTGTCTGATGACTCATCCGAGTCTTTGGGATCCGACCCGGACTGGTTACCCTAGGGTTTATCCTTGACCATAGTTAGGTAGGGCCGACACTTTTTTATAGGAGCCCTTCTTAGTTAGTACCTGACCGCCCTAGCCACATACCCCTTTTTGATGTTAGTGGCTGCTGACCCGTTTTGGTCTATATACATCTCTGTTAATGAATATTGTAAATCCTTTTGATTAATGCAAGTATGTATTCATGGTGTTTGTTGCTATCCCTGGTCATGTTTTATCTTGTACGGGTGTTTGATCGTTTCCGCATGTGTATTGTTCTCTGATTTGGGTTTTGGGTCGGCGACGCGTCCTGGGACGTCGCACCAATACGACCGACGAAGGGGTTGTTGCGTGCCGTAGGGTTCGGGGGGTGACATTTCATCCTTCTTATCCAAAGGGGCTGTAGTTCAATTCACGACAGTCATGAATTCGGCACTGAAGGTCCATTCGACCTCATTGATCCAGCCTTTCATTTCATCGAGCTCGTCAATGAACTCTAACATACCGACTGGTTCTCGTTCCCGTGAGCTTCTAATTGAGCACGGCCATGGCGTCCGACAAGGTTTCCCTTTTCTTGGATCTCCCATGGGTCTTCTCTTGGGCAATATGCTCCTAGGGAACCCTGCCATCCATAATAACTGAGGCAATCTCTTGGTTTGACATTCTCTCAACCAGTTGATGTGCTCCTCGATCTCTTTGAACGATTCCTCTCTACTTTGCTCTGATACCACCTGTCATGGGTCGGTTATTTGGGATCGGACCCGTAGGCAACTTAGGCTTCATTGGATCATTGGAGCGCCTAAGCCAATCCTTTTCTCAAGGGATCGATTGCTCACTTGCTTGCTCGAATCGTAGAGAGAGAAAGTCTAGAGAGAGAAGCTCCGAGAGAAAATGGAATTGTATTGCTTCAATTGTTGGATGGCTACAAATGAGAGAGGGAGCACCCCTATTTATACTAGAGGGCCTCTCGTTCCACCTGTTGAATGAATCTCGATCGAATGGTTGATATCGCATCTCTTCATCTACCAACTATCGATACTAAATGTAGGAAAACTCTAGAACACGGTACATTTACCGTATCGCCCGTTGCTGGGAACATTCTAGAAGCTCTTGAAGATTTGGACGAGTCTTTGTCGATCGTACATGGTCCTTGGTGCATGGAAACCTTGGAACCGTGACACATGCATGGCGGTTTACAGGTGTTTGATCAGTTCATGGTTGGTGGTGATTAGAGGTAGACCCATCAAATGGGTAGGTCGGATCGGATTTGGGTTGGGTGAAAAATGGTTCGACCTAAATTGATCCATTTAACTCATTTTGTCCAATTTCTATGCAATAAAAATCCAGTGACTCATACCCGAACCGACCCATATTACTAAAGCACTTCTATATTTAACTAAATCTAGGAAAACTTGTATCCAAATTGAGGTGAGAGCATGGAGTGAGCAAGCGTGAGATTGAGTGAGGGTGAAAGAGTGAAGAAAGAGTCATAAATGTGGGTTGGTTGTAAATAAGTGATGAACTCATTTAACACTTATATTATTTTAAGCTTTATCATTTTAAGCCATTTATGATCCATCTATTGAATATAACTTATCTATACAACAATTCCTCCCATCAAATATGATTTAAGAAATTGGTTTATGACCCATTTTAATAGGTCTACTTGGAGGTAAAAAGAGCGAGTGTAATAGGTGAAGTGAGAGAGAGTTGTAGTTGCGTTGAATATGTGGAAAGATAATGAAGGATGAAGGAGAATGCCGGTGGTTTGTGTGGAGGCTTAAGGAGTGGTATTGACTATTGAGTTGAATGTGGAAATTGCAGGTGGTGGGTTTGGCCGTGCAAGCAAAAAACGGAGAGCATTTTAGGGTGAAAACGAGGGCTAGGGTTTTTTCTGAGGGGTAAGGTGAGCTCCTAAACGATGAGCTGGAATTAGATAAGTTTAACGGGGCTTAGGTGAGCCGTGGCCAACTGCGAATGGCCAACGAGCTGCAAACTGACTCGACGGACAGGACGAGCAATGTGTCACCTGCACATTGGCTACGGGCATGGGGTCACGGAATCACGAAATAATGTTTTTTGGACCAACAATCATATTCGGCAGAGAAATTCATCTCTTTCTTTCCTTGTTAGATATAAAAACGTCACAACTATCCATTATATCGAGATCGTCTTAAGACCTTGTTAGATATATGACCCATTGGTGCTCAGGTCGTTTTGTTTCCTGATGCTGACATGTTGAATAAACAATGAACCAAGCGACTTCTATAAATTCAGGAGACGACGGCTAATACCTTCCAAGATCCTACATGAGTTACGGACAAAGCAACCATGTTCATTTCTAACCTATTTTTCCAGAGATCACTAAACCCGAACCATCTCTCTAAACCTCAAAACACCTGAATGTCAAAACTCAAATTGAAGGGTCGTAGGGGAAACTAGTGGTTGCGAGCCACTTATCTGCCCAAATGAATGGCGAGACCATGAAAGGTAAAGTGTCTTGGTAACTCAGGACGTGAAAGCCACTCCAGCCGACTCTGCGAGCGGTGCTTGATCCGGGGCCGTGATTCTCGTACTCACCGTAGTACAAGGTGTCCTCAAAGTCCTTATCCTTCCAGGGAGACCAACCCGCCGGGTCGATGTGTCCACTGATGTAGGATTCAAGGATCACTGTCCTAGAGTAAGCCTGCCAAGGCCTCCCCAGGTAATTCTTCACAGGAGAGGAGGCCAAGTCAGGGGAGGCCAGGATTGAGCACCTGTGAAGGGAGAAACCGCTGTCTTGGGTTGGCTCTTTTCTCGATTGGGCCGTGACGAGAGTGGATTGCCCTGGCAATGGCTTTTTTGATATCACCTGGCAAGACTGGAAGACAGCCGAGGCATCGCCGCATATGAAGTCGATTGTTCCCGAGATGTTGCATTCGCGGTAAAACTGTTTGCCCGAGTGTGCGTACAGTGTGTCCTGGAAGCCATGGATGCCGCAGCGGTAGAACGCGGCAAATTCCGCATTCACTCGCAGTGCAACGGCTTGGTGCTTGGTGGGTCCTGCCGTGTTCTCGAACGTGATGTCCCTCGCCATGAATCCTCGAGCCGAAACACCTGTTGCAAAAACGAAACCAAAGTGTGTATTGATGATTCGGAAGACTTCTTATTGAGAAAAGAGGATGATCGTCCTCTGTCACACGAGATGTTTTACCAACGGTTGCAGTTTTGAAAGTTTGCCACCCGTCCACCCAATTTCGTTGCCCGGTGATGACAGTTTGGCCATCTCCTTCTCCTACCAAGAAGATGTTCGTCTTATGGGCCGGAATATTCAAAACCTCACGGTAAACTCCCTTCTTGATATGAATTATTGTCCTGCGATCACTGTTATCCGGGACCGCCAACCGAATCGCGTCAGATATGGTTCTGAACATCCCGCTTCCATCTGCAGCCACAGTGATCACTTCCCCAGGATGAAAGCTTGTAGTGGGGGCCTCCAAGACTGACCGGTCATCCCGAGAGAGCCACTCTGCAGAGCTCATCAGCCTCCGGTAATGTCTCGGTTTTTGCAGCAACAATGCCTTATAAACGACAGAGAGTGATGCATTGACGTGCTCGTAAGAACGGAGAAAGGAACTTTCCAGGACATCTTTTAGCGGTCCCGACGTTGACCGGAGTCCCTCCAGGCATGTCCAGTGATTCGTGAGGACCGAGCTGAGCAGGCCCCTCACCTTGGACAGGTCAGCAACCTCCGAGAGGGATTCTTTCAGGTTTGAGATAGATATCCGGTGGAGTTCCTCGCAGGCCTCGAGAGTGCCTCTTTTTTCCTCAACAATGTCGGCCCAGTTTGCAGATTCGAAGAGGTTCAAGAGGTTGGTGGCTGCAAAAACCGTGGTTTTGAGCGACAGATGCGAGTCGACCAGAGACGGGCTGTAGCTAGAAATGTTGGAAGCTGCCGCCGATTGTTTTAGGACAGAGAGGAGGAGGAGGAGAGACGGTATGAATGAAGCCATATTACGTATGTCGGGGCTCCTTGCGCAACTAACGCTTTTATCGACGCCAATTTCCAGAACAGAGAATAGGTTCATAATTGAAGTGATTACTATCTCCTAATGAACGTCAACTATGAGTTAAGAACTTAGTGAAAGGGTGAGTTTCAGCATTTATCTTGCTCGGTTACGAATGATCAATAATGACTTGAACAATTCCTGGTTTTGGTAATGTGTGAGGGTTTCAAAGAAGCATTAATCTATTGCACCTACATGATTCACAGCAAAAGTTACAAATTCCACGTGGACATTCGACCTGAGCAAGCAAATATCAAACAGATTCACGTTTCCCTATATTTGAGCTGAAATAAAAGAGCAAATTATTCTATGGGACCATAGAAGATCATTCAATTTCCATCTACCCACGAAGATTATCTTTATATGAATTGCAGAAAGATTACATATACACGTTTGTCTGGCTTCTTTCAATGTATTCTATTCTCAACTGCATGCATATATACACGCAAGAATGACTAAGGATGAACAAAAATGACCATCTAACTAGGACCATGTTAACCCTAACATGATGAAGGGGACTATATCCCAAGGGCGAATTAATAGGTTACAGCTTGTTTTTGGTCGAGAATAGGTTACGGCTTAACTCACCTTATATTAATGAAGAATATCAGTGTTTGAATCTGGTGTGGCCTTTTCAATCCTGCCCAAATCTGGATTTTTCGGGCCAAGGAAGTTGATCTTTGTCTTTGACAGGTTTCAATTCTTGGGCTTTCTTTATATTGAGTAAAGGAGGGATGCACTTCCTTTGGATATGTACAAAAGAAAGAAGGGACCACATATTCCATATATATACATGAGTACGTGTCTTTTTGCCAAAAAAATGGGGAAAGGGGACTTTTGGTTTAAACACTCTAATTTTTTGTGTGTTTTGACCATACTATCCCTTGTGGGACCCATCACTTCTAGTAAAGATCTACAAAAGTGATCTTTTTTATTATTTGCTGAACTTCTTTCCTTTTTCTTTTTTCTTTCCACTCCTTTGACTCTCAGTTTTTCGCTCTTGCGAATCGTCTCTATATTTTCTCTCTTGCTTGCCATTCTCTTCTTTCTACGCCTCCCACTCTTATTTCTTCTTTTTCTACCACAATTCTCTCCTACATATGCAATCCCCACAAGAACTACTTACTTCAACAATGGAGTAATCTATTTTCTTTGACGACAATGAAGGCCAAATTCTTCTGCTTTCTCAAGATTGTAAGTGTTGGGTTTAAGTCTAGAGTGGAGGCTAAAGGAGCCTCTTGTACCTAAAAATAGGCTACAATCATGAGGTAGGCTTGGCTGTTCCTCACGCAGTGTGTGTCTTTTGCTTTAAGAATAAATGTGGTATGATGTACCGAAATCCACAACAATGTGGTCTACTGTTCAAAGGGCTCGTTGGGGAGGTCACCGATGAGCCCAATGTCCATGCCAGTGAAAGTGTGGAGGATGATCGGATTGATGTCATAGATAGAAAATAGAGGACGACGGGTTTGGGGAAGAAGAAAAAGAGGAGGAGGAGGTGGGGGGGTGTAAAAAGAAGAGAATGGCCTGTAAGAGAGAAAACAGAGAGACGCTTTCCAAAAGCAGAGAACTGAGACGTCAAATGCATGAAAATAAAGAAAGAAAGAAAAAGAAAAGTGGGACCCTCGGGGAAGAAAAAGAAACAAAAAAAAAAGAGTTGATCAATTAATAAAAAAATGAATCACTTTTGTATAATTATATCAGAAGTGATGAGCCCCACAAAGGATAGTATGGTCACAACACAAGAAAAGAGTGTCTAAACTAAAAGAGGAGTGGAAAAAGCGTGACAAAAAAAAATACATTTACGTGTGGGGCCAAGTGAAGCCAGACAAAAAGAAAGTGAAAAGCAACATATTCCATATATAAAAATACATGTACATGTACATGTTTTGCTTTTTACTCTCTCCTGCTGAAGCTGCACAGTTGACTCCAATCAAAAGGATGAACAGCGGAGACTAAGAAGGTATGCATGGTGATTGTCCTCTTTGATCGCACTGAGGAGTCTTGAAAGCGGTAGATTTTGCGCCGTAAGTTTTACATCCAATTAAGTTATTTATTTGTAAATACTTTGGGTTTGGGCTGGGAAACACTCGAGCATATGAGTGATCGTAACTCTGATTTTACGATTATTAGTATATTATTGGCCGCTGGCTCTCCTCGTGGAGTAGGTAGAGGCACTCGGATCGAACCACGTAAATCTCCAGTAGTTTTTATTGCTGCTCGTTTATTATTCTAGTTATTTTGCGTTGATTTAGTCACAACAACCTGTCAGTTTCCGCGTTAAATTTACGACATAATTTTCCGGGGAAGTCCTTAATCAGGTTAGTACAAATGTATGACCACTAAACAGAACTCTAAATTTTCGTTTGGCCAGTAACTTTATAGTGCACTTAGGAAAGTATCTGACTTCGTTCGATATATAATGTGGCAGATATCCGGTCGACTTAGGTTTATCTTAAATTGAACGGTGATGACTCTAGTCTGCTTTTAAGAATTCAAACATTTAACTCTAGTAGATTAACCTAGCATTTGAAAAGATCCCAAGAATGGAGACCTTACTGAGTAGCGACCTGAGTTTGGAAAATTCGAGTTGCTTTATTCTCTGAACTTGTTCTGACATCCTAATTCCTAGATACCTTCCATGTCTCTTCTGAGCTCAAAGAAAGTTGAGAGCCAACCGAGTAGCGAGTTGGACGACACACTAGCAGCTCCCAATGCTTTAACTAACAGGTGCTTTACAAAAAAAGAGGGATCGTGCTGCAATTCAAGTATTGTTATAGAGTTGAGATGGGCATAGTTGCAGTGGTTTGTTGGTGGCAGTGAAGAATGCATGCATGGTGGTGAACGAGTGTTTGATCAGTCCATGGTTGGTGGTGGCTTGGAGGTAAAAAGAGCGAGTAAAACAGGCGAAGCGAGAGAGAGTTATTGCGGCGCAGGAAATGTGGAAAGATAATGAAGGATGAAGGAGAAAGCTGGTGGTTTGTGTGGAGGCACAAGGAGTGGTATTGACTATTGAGGTTGAATGTGGGAGTTGCGGGTGCTGGGTTTGGCCGTGCAACCAAAAACGGAGAGCATTTTAAGGGTGAAAACGAGGGTTAGGGTTTCACAAATGCAAGAATGTTTTCTATACAGTAGCATCCCAATCGAGAAGGGACGCGTTTGGCTCGAGTTTGAGCCAAAACAAGCTCAGTCTCCTTAGCCGAAAATCTCACTGAAGCTCCTTGTTTCCAAAGGTCGGCTTTGGACCTACCACCATCACGCCGGCCTTTGCAACAATGTTGTCCTTCAGCCAGCCCAAGACGTCATCATGGTCGAAGTCGAGGTGCTGTGATGAGTAGCGTCCACCACGGTTTTGGTCACCGCTACGCCGCTCCAATGTTTTTGCCTTTTGGTTTTCTGCAGCCTCGTGTGGGTGTGTCCCTGGTTTAGTTTAAGTCACTCCTCTTTTGTTGATTCACAGATGTATTACCCTTGAGAATGGTTTACTCACATGCTGCCGCCTTTCACCGGAGTTATGCCACCCTCCAGTCTTCGCGCTATGGTTTTCCATCACCAACTCATCACTTGGCTTCAGACGCACGCACGCTCACTCGAAACATCAGCAATGTCCAAGCACGTCCCGGTATCACCTGAAACTGTCCTCACCGAGAGGAAACTGAGAGCTCCTGTTCTTCATTTTCTTCGACTCCGAATTTTCTGCCGGTAATATACTTCAGAGCCACGCCTCTGTTCTTGCGTTGATATTGCTCCGCGGACTTTAATGACGCCTGTCAAGCTAAAAGTCGTTGCGGCTCTAGATTCTATTCTGTCGTCTCGAAGGATGGTATTCATGGTAAGTTCATGCATCCATGTGTGTGTGTACGTGGAGCAGTCGTGGAGTCATGCACAAGTGGCGTGTGTGAGACCGTGTGGTGATATATTATGCATGTGTTCTCAATTACATAGAAACTTTGAGTGACAGATGCGAGTCAACCGGAGACGGTCGGAACTAGAAATGTCGGAAGCTGCTGCTGACTAGTTTAGGACAAGGAGGAGGAGAAGAAGAGACGCTATGAATGAAGCCATATTACGTATGTTGGGGCTCCTTGTGCAACCCTCGCTTTTATCGACGGCAATTTCCCGAACAGAGATTAGGTTCATAATTGAAATGATTACTATCTCCTAATGAACGTCAACCATGAGTTAAGAACTTAGTGAAAGGGTGAGTTTCAGCATTTATCTTGCTTGAATGATCAATAATGATCGGAACAATTCCTGGTTTTGGTAATGCGTGGGAGTTTTTAAAGAAACATTAATCTATTGCTCCTACATGATTCACAGTAAAAGTTACAAGTTCCACCTGGACATTTGACATGATGAACAAGTAAATATCAAACAGACTCACGTTTCCACATACTTGAGCTGAAACAAAAGAAAGACCATAAGAAGATCATTCGGTTTCCATCTATCCATGAAGATTATCTTATATGTAATGCAGGAAAGATTATATATGCATACAGTACACGTTTGTCTGGCTTCTTTCCATTTATACTATTCTCAACTGCATGCATATATACACACAAGAATAACTATGGATGAACAAAAATGACCATTTAACTCCACAGATCAATTAATTGCTAAGAAGTTCTTTAAATAAAACTTAAGCCAGGAACTAAATGGAGCTCGTAGTTGTGTAACTTGTAAGCCTACCTAAAGTAAAAGTGTAATTCGACCAAAAAAAAAAAAAAGTAAAAGTGTAACAGCAGTAAATAAAGAACCTAACAATCTAACCCATGGAGTTAACAGCATACTTCTTAAATGCAGCATTAACCTACCCAAAGTGCCTTCCTCATTTTGGCGAACACAAAGAAAGAGAAAAGGACTCGCCCATGTTAGATAAGAACTCAAAATATATACACTCCCTTAACCTAAAGCTTGGAGGTCTATGAGATGATTAAAGGCCTAACATATTTTCGATAAACAGGATATAGCAACCAAAGCATTCCAAAATTCCTAAAAGTAGATGGAAGTAAACAAACTAAACAGAAATGACAGGGAACTGTAAAGGTTATGACATAGTACTTGTCCAAGTGCAAGACATGCCACCTCACAGCTTCTTCAATGAATCCCCCGCTCCCTGAAAGAAAAGGCAAGAGAGTGCAAAATCTGCGATGAATATACCGACAAGTGAGATGACCACAGCAGAAGTTGTCGACTCGCCCACGCCCTTGGCCCCTCCCATGGTAGTGACGCCCCAAGCACAGCTAACGATAGATATAATTGCTCCAAAAACCTGGGACTTGATCATTGCACTTATAATATCCCATGGTCTAAGAGCTCTTTGGGCCGAGTCCAAGATAATGTTAATGCTAACACCATAAACGCTATCAGCCAGGAGGGCACTCGATGCCATTCCCACCGTGAAACACATTAATGTCAGAAATGGTAATGCAACACAGGAAGCAATCACCCTTGGCGTGACTAAATAATCCACAGGATTCGTGCCAAGAACTCTCAAGGTGTCAGTTTGCTCAGATACCTGCATAGTCCCCAACTCCGCAGCAAATGCACTTCCAACACGTCCGGCGACTACAATAGATGTTACAACAGGACTCAGCTCCCTGGAGAAAGCTAAGGCCAAAACCCCACCAACTGCCCTATTCAATCCCAACCTGGTAAATTCTCTGACAAACTGAATGGTGAAAGCCATGCCTACAAAAGCAGAAGTCAAGAGGCAAACTCCAACTGATTTTGGGCCAACTCTCTCCAACTGTTGCAGAGTGTTCTTCCAGTGGAGTTTCCCCCGCAGTGTCCGGATAATTACCTGTCCTGCTAGGATAAGAACGGATAACCCCCTCCACAGATACTTAGGAGGTGACCATTTGCTAAACCAAGTGTCTACTTCAACGAAGAATGCTTTATTGTTATTTGCTTCTTCTTCCAATATAGAAACGGAAAGGTGGCCATCATCTGTATTGGGAACAGCCGCCAATTTAGTCTCTTCCCTGGGCAAGATGAATTTATAACGCGGGATACTCTTTGCGATTTTAAGTTTCTTGACAAGCTGAATTGAACTTGGTATTTTTGTTTGCATCCATCCGTGCACTTGTATACTTCGACTACTGCAATATGCACAAAATAGTAAATATCAGGCACAAAACTTAACTTGCAAATTCAACTGCCTGATGAGATGTATACCTGTTACTGTCACAAATGAACAAGGGTGAATGAAGCTGAAAAGCTGACTGCATGACTGAGTCGAAAGGATGGTTTCAATTCCGATTTCTTTCAGCAGAGGATTTTATAAGAGCATGCCAATGGTATCACGAAGCACACAAAGGAGAAGCCAAAAACAAAGTTCTCCACAAACTACCAATTCCAACCAAAAGTTGCTTTGACAATATGTACTAAACAACCACAGAGGTTGGCCCCATCCTGAAAAGGAAACAATAAGAGAAGGTTTGAAACTTCAATTAAATTATACTCACATGCATCTATAGCAGTCTGACACATGTAGAGAATTACTGTAAGCAGACTGGCAGGCACTAGCAATGTAGACATATAATCAATAGGGTGCATACAGGGATAAGTACATAAAGTTACCACAGAGTCGTTAGATTAACATAAAAGCGCAAAAGTCTAGAAAGCCTATGCAATCATGCTTGACATTTGCATTCATATTTTTGCTGCATGAATGCAGGATCTCTGAAACCTAGACTTATACAGTGAAAGTCAATGTATCTACCCTGAAGCAGCTAAAAATCTTAAAGTGTGCATCACCGGCCTCACATATCCAGAATTCTGAGACAGAAATAGTACTGTTCCCTGATTCCACACTGACATTTATTTAAGTTGAAGCAAGAGCCATAGCTATACTACACTACCCCAAACGAAGAACACAAAATAGGTGAAGAAAGGCTCATAATTGGAAATTGAGCAACTAAACACAAGCTGAATAGGTGGTCAAGCTTGGTTTGAAATGTCCAACTAGGCTTATGGTTAAGAGAACATTCTAGCTGTTGGAATTCTGCAGGAATGGTGATTAGGAGCAATAGTGGGTTGCATAATCTCTTCTCGGCCTTTGCCAGCGTGGCATTTGGCCACTCAATAGAAAACCACAGTTCATGCTGCCAAATGCCTATAATACTAGTATTCTTACAACATCTTATCACATGGATCCAATCAAAGTTATGATGAAACACCACAACCCGCCTAATGCTGCATTACTACATGCTTCATCATTCATTTCTGAAAAATTACCTGTAAATTCCCGCTTTTCGCAGCATCTACTATTAAGGGAGGCACATTAGCAGCTCAAACATCCAAGAACATAGCCGCGAACCCTGAAAACCAAGAAGCCCATTACTACCCAAGACCAATTATTGACTCAAACACAAACCCATCATCCCAATAAGGCGACTGAAGCATCAAATCCCATCGACAGCATCGCAGCTAACGTAAACAGGGGACTTCCGGAGTAATCAAGTCAAAATGATTGGAAAGATGGTAAATTTTGTTGAGGGCATGGAGATCGGTAGGTTCGAACCAAACCTCAATCACCGACGCGACGGCCGTCGAGGGTCGTCCGACCTGGAGGGCTTCGGAGTCGCCGGTGACCGGAGTCGGCCGGAGTCGGAGCCACCGCAGCTTCGACGCTGGAAGTGGCGAGGAGAGAGAGAGAGAGAGAGAGAGAGAGAGAGAGAGAGAGGGTGAGCAGGGGGTTCTGCCTTTGTGCATCATGTTTTTTCTTTCGTTTTCTTTAATCGGGTTGAAGAAAAAGCACAGAGCATATTAAAACGAAAGGAAAATACCATAAAAAATCTCAAATTATGTCACTTGTGACAAATTTATTCTAAATTTTTTTTATAATACAAAAAATCCCAAATTATGCCACTTATGATAAATTTACCTTGAAATTTTTTTTGTAACACGAAAAACCCCAAACTATATCATCTGTAACATATTTACCCCACAATACTTTGGCACACGGGCATTTTCGTCTTTTTCCTTTTTTTTTTCTTTTTTTCTCTCTTCCCCGGCGAGGGCTACCTTCACCGGATCCGGCGGGGGCAGCCCTCGCCCGCCCAGGCTCAGGTAGACATGGCCACGGTTCGGAACCGGCTGGCTCCGGTTCGTTGCCATGTATGAATCGGAACCGGCCGGTAAAAATTAAAAAAATAAATTATAAAATATAAAATTAATGAATTATCAAATTGTGAAATTATGAATTATTTAATATAAAATGTAATCAAAATGTACATTGTAATCAAATTTGGGGAAAAAAAGAGTTTCTTCACTTATCTGCAGTTTTTTTTTTGGAATCGGTGGTTTCGGGTCAATTCCAAAATTGTTGGAACCGGAATCGGGCCCGTAGGCCACGAGCCAGTTCTGGTTCCGAACAGCGGGCCCGATCAACGGGCCGATCCCGGATTTGACCCGGGCCGGTTCCGAGCCGAAACCGGCCCGTGGCCATGTCTAGGCTCGGGCAACCCTCGCTAGCGTCAGGCGAGCATCGCCCTAGCCTGGGCGGGCGAGGGCAGCCTCGCCGGACGCCGGCAAGGGTCGTCCTCGCCAGATCAGGCGAGGGCAACCCTCGCCTGAGTCGGGCAAGGTCGCCCTCGCCCGACGCCGGATCCGGCAAGGGTCGCCCTCGCCAGATCCAGCAAAGGCAGCCCTCGCCGGGGAAGAGAGAAAAAAAAAATAGAAAAAGACGAAAATGTCCCTGGGCCAAAGTATTGTAGGGTAAATGTGTCACAAGTGACATAGTTTGGGGTTTTTCGTGTTACAAAAAAGAGTTAAGGGTAAATTTGTCACAAATGGCATAGTTTGAGATTTTTGGTGATATTTTCCCTAAAATGAATATCAATAAATAATTTAATTAATTTTTTTCAAATAAACTGATTTTAATTTATATATATTTTTTTTGAAATGTTAAAGATTTAACTTTTTTTTTTGTTCGAGTTGAGGATTTAACTTTAAGTTAGGTCGATTCGTGAGAAAAAAAAGTTGATTGATGCTTGAAGAGAGTAACTTTATAATGTATTACAAAATAGCGACGAGATCAAGTTATAATTATCTAAATTCGAACGGAGAATTGACATAAGTTTTTATTAATTTTTCTTAGGTAAATACAAGGTTCTTACTATCTTTTTGAACTGCAACACATATTTCTTTTTTTTTTGGTAAGGTAAGGATTTTTATAACTTTTCAACACAATATACAAAGCGTAGCCGAACACAAAAACCCCGCACATGAAGAGACACGGAAGGGTGTCCCAATCGGTGCAAGGGTGTATCGACTAGACAACGTAAAAAAGCAACATAAGCATTGCAAAACAAGGCCAAACAAAGGCCAACAGAGTATAAAAAGGACAACAAAATAAACCACCGCAGTGGGATTACTCAAAGATAGAAGGCGAGATGCCCCAATTAGATCGGATCCTTCTATTGCGAGGGGAGTCTTGGATAGACTTGTAGGACAGCCCTCTGTCCCTTACGAGCTTAGAAAGGTGCACACGAAGAGCCGGTAGAAACACGAAGAGCTTAGAAAGGTGCAATACATATTTCGAATCCTTCTTTTGTATATTAATTATTGGATCTTGCAATGTGCTCATTTTATTTTAGGATAATGACACAAATGCTTCCTAGACTTTGGCCTAACATGTAATATCATCATTGAATTTTTAATTTATTCAATGGAGTTCATGAATATTAACCAAATGTTCAATATGGACCATAAACTTTAATTTGTTCAATGTGGTCCCTGAACTTTTGATACATATTCAATGTAGTCCTTGAAGTATATGAAAATGTTTAGGGAAAAGACCACAAAAAATCTCAAACTATGCCACCTGTGACACATTTACCCTGAACTTTTTTTTTGTGACACCAATAACCCCAAACTATGCTATTTGTGACATATTTACCCCAATGTACTTTAGTCCATGGGCATTTTCGTCTTTTTTTGCTTTTTTTTTTTCCTTTTTTTTTTCCTTTCCTGAGCGAGGGCGGTGGCCCTCGCGAGGCGACCCTCGGCCGAAGGCGACCCTTGTCGGGCGTCACCTCGGGCGAGCGAGCGCCCTGCCTAGCCGAGTCGGGCGAGGGTGGCCCTCACTCGCCCAGGCAAGGCGACCCTCGCCGACGTCGGACGAGGGCCGCCCTCGCTTGAGTCGGGCGAGGCGACGCCGGCGAGGGTTGCCCTCGCCGAATATGGCGAGGGCCGCCCTCGCCCGACGCCGGCGAGGGCCGCCCTCACTGGAAAGGAAAAAAAAAGGAAAAGAAAAAGAAAAAGAAAAAAAGATGAAAATGCCCATGGACTAAAGTACATTGGGGTAAATGTGTCACAAATAGCATAGTTTGAGGTTTTTGGTGTCACAAAAAAAGTTCATGGTAAATATGTTACAGGTGGCATAGTTTGGGATTTTTGGTGGTTTTTTCCCAAATGTTTAATATAATCATTTCATTAATTTAACATCATGGACAATATTAAACATTTTCATATAGTATATGGACTAAAATTGGATATGTACCAAAAGTTTATAGACTATGTTAAACAAATTAAAGTTTAGGGACCACATTTTACATTGGACTAAAGTTTAGGAATCCCATTGAACAAATTAAAAGTTCATAAATTGCATTACATGTTGGGCCAAAATTTAATGACCGTTTGTGTCATTTTCCCTCTTTTAGTAGAACACAAGTAAAATTGCTTAAAATTTCATGTGTTTGACACGAAACATTAAACATGTGTCGTAATTTTTTTTTGTCGTAAGAAAATTGTATTCATTACTTAAAAGGATACATGAAAAGCACAGTGACTTTCATGGTAAAGAAAATCGAAGTAGAGCAAATCCCAAAATACAACAAAACAAAGCCAAATCCAAAAAACAAGGAGGATCAATAGAGAACTGGCATGGTCAAGCACATATTCATTCCTTAAAAATGAATCTGTCAAGCAAAATAATCGACGGCCGATCACTGAATCTCGTATTATCATTAGTGACGAGCATACATCGGAAAAGTTGTTCTCCAATAACTGCGCCGTTGCCTGTTGGCGGTGCATGCCTAGGGTCGGCTTTCTCTATACCATCACCGGACAGAGACAATCAAAACAGGTTAAAAAAACACATATCTAACTTTTGGAAAGCAAATCTTCATAGTTTAACGAGACGCCAAAACTCTTACGATCATTAATGAAATTGGAGGCAAATGACTTGTACACGGACAGAGAACGGGGTATCGACTTCCCGAAAATATTATTAAACTCCCAAAATCTAAATCGAGAGAGAAAAGCTCTTATATCTAGAACTAAATCAGGAGAGTTCAAACTTTTAGATCTAGAATTAGGCAGGGAGAAAGGAGCTCCCAAATTTAGATCAGAATAAAAAATAATAAGAAAAGAATATAAAGATTCAAACAAAATCAACAGGAGGAGAGGATGAAACTAGCTCAGACCCTCCCCATGTCTAAAGCTCGAAGAAGACGATGGAGAGCGAAGAGATAGAGAGAAACTTTTCGGATTTTGTTTGCCTTTTTTTTCCCACCCCAGAATTTCCGCCATTTCGGCTTTTGTTTGAAAGAGTTATCTCTGAGACCAAAAATAATTGAGGATCGCCTTATGATCCCTTTTTTCGTATAAGGGGATAAATAGACAACGCAAAATAGTTAGGTCAAGGGAATTTTGACAATTTTCATGGTGGACACCAAATTTGAAATTTTTTTAAAGGGAAAAAACCTCCAAAAACCCCAAACTTTTCCACTTGTGACACATTTACCCCGAACTTTTTTTAGTGACACCAAAAACCCCAAACTTTGTTATTTGTGACACATTTACCCCAATATACATTGTCCATGGGCATTTTCGTTTTTTTAGCTTTTTCTTTTTTTTTTTACTTTTTTTTCTTCCGCGAGCGCCTCGCCCGGCCGAGGCTCGCTTCGCCCGCGAGGGCGAGCCTCGCCCGCCGCGAGCCTCGCCTCTGCCCGACGCGGCGAGCCTCGCGGGCGAGCGAGGGCGAGCCTCGCCCGGGCGGGCGAGCCTCGCCCGGGCGAGCGAGGGCGAGGCTCGCAGGGCGAGCCTCGCCTCCTCGCCCGGGAGGGCGAGGCTCGCCGAGCCGGCGAGCCTCGCCTCGCTCGCCCAGGCGAGGGCGAGCCTCGTCCGACGCCGGCGAGGGTGGCCCTCGCCGGAAAGAAAAAAAAAGTAAAAAGAAAAAGAAAAAGCTAAAAAGACGAAAATGCCCATGGACAATGTATATTGGGGTAAATGTGTCACAAATAACAAAGTTTGGGGTTTTTGGTGTCACAAAAAAAAGTTCGGGGTAAATGTGTCACAAGTGAAAAAGTTTGAGGTTTTTGGTGATTTTTTCCCTTTTTAAAAAGGTACCTGCTACTGCTAGGGCTCCACTAAAGCATACCCAATTTGGTCGGGAAGCACCAAAAGACTACTCCCGACTTCAACATGGGAATAATGTCGTTACTAGCTGTCGAACTTCTATTTATACTCAATCTCATTTCTGAATTTTTTTTATCAATTTTGTCCATGAACTTCTTTAATTTTTATTCAATGTGGTCCTTCCATAAGGGATCTAATAAAATTTGCGATCATGGTCATTAAAGCTTCTTGGACATAATTAATAAACATTTCTTTGTTGGGATCAAAACTAAATTGACATGGCACGATTGAGAGTGAATGAAAAAATAGTTTAGAGATTAAATTGAGCAAAAAACAAAGTAGGGGAAGAAATTCAACAACATAAGGATAAGTCATAAACTAAATAAAATATTCGATCTTAGCATATTTCGTTAATGATTTTAACAAAATGACCACTTCGAATCACTTTTTAAAAGTTTAAGAATGGAAATTAAACAAAAAAAATAGTTCGGGGATGACGTTGAATAGTGAGAAAATGTTCAAGGACTACTGCTGTCATTACCTCCTTCTATATATGATTTGTCGTCCAAAATTTAAACATAAAAATATCAATAAAGTTTCAGGAAATTAAGAAAAAATTATGCGCGCATTTGCATATAAATTTTGCAAGATTTCAAGTGTTAGAGTAAAAAAAATAAAGTGTAAGTTTCACATATTTTACAAATAGTTACAAGTTAGAAGCAGTTGTCAATTCAACTGGACCTTTCATTATAATTGCCAATTAAATATTTTCCCTTTTGACATTATAAATGAGAAAAAATGAATGACAAAATTATTAATTCTTAGTTATAGTATAGTACAAATGCCGATAGAATTCATTCTTATGAACATGTTGTAGAATATGTGATGTTGGAGGAAGTTTAGGGCTAATGTAGTATGGTTGTAAAAATTTGTGTTTCAAAAGACATAATTGTACATGTTTATTAAATCCCAATAAATTTGAAAATTACATGAATGTAAAAGTTTGTGGATGAAAAGTTGATTGGATTATTGTATCGACCCACAACTCTGGTGCCCAAATTCCACCACCGATCGAATAAATTTAGAAATTCTAGCTAATTAATTTTAGAAATTCTAGCTAATTAATTAAGTTGCCAATTAAATACATCTTAATATATGGTCACTGTCCATCAGCATGCATGGCATTTTCTTTTCGTATAACCATTTTGTCAACACATTTTGTTTTTTCATTCTTTACGTAGAACAAGGACTTTCTTATATATATTTCTTCCAAAATCTACTATATCACGTCTGATTTATGATGAGATCGTTGGACATATTCTTTGGATAAAATGAGTTTATATGAACATTATTAGGAGAAGAATTTCGATTCGGAAAAAATGAGTTTATGTGAACAAGACATTCTTTAAAGATGTTTCTTCTTTGATAATTAGACATTTTCTACTTTGAGAGAACCATGTTGTACCCGCTATTGTCATATTTAGGCATGTACTGTTTCTGAGGTCTGAGAAAACGGGAACTCATTTGGGAAGATGCTCACAGTTACTGGTACAGGTATCAACTTGTCTTTGTGTTCACTTGTTTAGGAAGATGGAACTGCTTCACACAACATGCGGAACACCGAACCATGTCGCTCCGGAGGTTTTGTCATCGTTTATCCGATGTGCAAGCTGCAGTCGAGCTAATGGCTGGCTACTTGCCATTTGAAGAATCCAATCTCATGGCATTGTGTGAAAAAGGTAAAGGCTTCTGTTTTCTTCCTGGTGTTTCTAATCTCAGCACACTCTAACTGTGCAACGAATCACGTTAAACCTTCCAAGTTTCAATTATCAGTGATTCGTCGCTCTGGTCATCTGCTGTATCTGCAAGTATCTGGTGAAGAAAGGAAATGTGATCATTGATAAAAGAAAGAAAAGGGCAATCTAAGAACTTGCACTGTATTGCTGAATTATTATTGGGGATGTGTAAACTACTCCTGAGTTTTATCGACATCCCAAGTTTGGTGCATCGTGGAAGAACTGGCCGGTGCGATTGGCCGATAAAGATTGGTGATTAGGTAACTGCAGTTCATACCGTGTTGCTAAAGAACTCTTCCTTGGGAGCTGGTATAAAGCTTCACGTTTAAATCCATGAGCAAGTGGTACGGGACGGTGGACAAGAGGCTATTCTGTCCATCGGGACAAAGTCGTGTTTTGAGGCACTCTTTGCCAGTTTCGGAAAACAAGGTAATACAGTTTCTTTGCTTTATCATTACTATAACATAATCACGAGCAGGCAATGTTCTGCTTCGCATGATTCACCTATAATGATGAAATTTAATCCCGATTGTGGTGCAGATATTCAAAGCCGAATTCACTTGTCCTCCACGGTTCTCCTCAATTGCAAAGAAACTCGTCAGTAGAATTCTGGATCCTAACTCGTGATGGAAGGTTACTCTTGCTGGCCGCTTTCTTTGCTATGTAGTGTGCATTGACATGTAATGATTGTTTAGTCCCCTTCTCGTCGATCCAGTCGTAAGTGTCCGTTTATTACTTCTCTTTATCTGTGTTGATTTCGTGGAGCAGTGTATCACGATCCCAGAAGTTATCGAGAACGAGTGGTTTAAGAAAGGATTCAAGCCTCCGACTTTCAAACAAGGCGATGTTAGTCTCGAAGATATTGACAGTTTCTTCAGTGAAACCAGGGTGAGTGAGATCCATCTCTCTACATCCACCCTGTTTGAGTAAATCTACATAGTGATTCAGTGGTTCTGAAAGACGAGAAAATGTAACTTGTGCTTGTGCCTGTGTTCCTTCTTGGTATCAGGACGCCTCAAAACCTTTTTGTGGAGAAGCGAGAAGAAAGGCCTGCTGCCCCGGTCATCGTGAATTTGTTTGAGCTCATCTTGACTTCCCAGGGTCTCGACCTTGGTACCCCTTTCGAGAAGCCAATGCTACGTCTCCTCAGCTTAATCAGTAGTTAACAGAAGTAAATTACATTATAAGTTGCTTTCAGTAGGACGAACACCGAAAAGACTTGTCTCCGTTCATTTTTGCAGTCTTTCTCAGTAGTATATTGAGAAAGAATAACTCGGACATTTTATCATGCCGGATTTGTTTGTAGCCTAAAACTTTATATAGCCAACCTCATCCATTGTTCAGGGACTCGTCAAAAGAGAATCCATATTCACATCAAGCTGCTCAGCTGGCGAGATGATTGCGAAGATTGAGGAAGCTGTGATCCTGTTGGGTTTCGACTTAAGAAAGAGCAACTTCAAGGTACTTATCACAGGATCTCTTGTTCTCAGTCAGGATATCATTCTTAGTTAATGTTTTCAAGGCCTTTTCACCTGATATTGACCCTTCCATCTTTAGAAATCATCTCCCCTGAAGAAGCTCAATTTATCAGCATGAAGTTCTTTGGAGAAAGTCCTTTGACAATCTAACATGAATCAATGTATATGAGATCAGCATGAATCTGAGTATGCAACAACTCGATTTACTGCTCAATCTAAGATCTTTTCGCTACAAATTTCAGATGAAGCTTCTTGGAGGCAAGACTGGAAGGAAAGGCCACTTAGCAGTCAGCAACTGAGGTAATCACCTGTATCTTTACTTCACATAGCTGTCTACCAAACGAGACTCACTAATGCAGAGAATTTTCATCCTAAGAGTTTTAAACACTTTTTTCTTTGTTCAGAAAACATTCTCAGTACTTCAACTGCATAATGCCGGATTCTGTTTCAGATTTTTGCGGTGGCACCTTCACTATATATGGCTGAACTTCGCAAGTCAGGCGAAGAAACCCTGGAATTTCGTATGGTATAGTGTCTCAATCTTCCAGCATTTTCTTGGACCTATTAGTTTTTTCATGTGCTTTGTTGATAGAAAAGATGTTGGGGCATCAGCATTTTCTTTAATCTGTTCATGTTTCTTCTAAAAGAGTTATGAGATTATGTGCTCTTTGAAACATAGCTTGCAGCAATTGCTACAAAGATTTCGGAGCACTCCCATACAAATGAGCAAGAACTGGTACTCACAGTCTCAATGGTTGAAATTACGTCCCAAAATTGGTGCTATTAGCAATGAAATGCCTTACATATGGTGTCCATTCATGGAACATGTCTCAGCAAGAAGCCAATGCTAGATAGCAAAGATCTTTAAGCCAAATTAGATTAAAGCTGCTAAGTTCCAAAAGAGAAATGGGTTTACCTTCTACAGTGTTCACTGTTAGCTAATTTATGATGCAGCTGTGGGGTTTGTCTTTGCAATTCACCAGATTAATCTCAAACCAGAGTGCCCGGTGCAAAACCGTCTCGTGGACAGCAATTGATCATTAAACATGATACTAAACAAGGTCCTTACATTCGTAGTAGAAAGCATTATCTGCAATCGGGCGCATCTCCAAAGCTTTATCGAATGACACCCGTCATTACCCACCAATCATCTGTGTTTCGAAAGCTTTTATCTAGCAATTGCCGTCTGATATGAGCGAGTGCGGTTCTGCCTTTCCAAACCTTCCCCTTTCTCTAAGTTGTAAACATCCAATCCCAGCAAAGCCAAGTCATACACAGCTCAAATGGGTATGGGCTCTCTTTTCACCCTTGTACTGTCGAAAGTCTTCTTGCTTCAAATACAGACCTTTCAAATGGGTATGATTTCGCCGGTGCCATCTGAAGATCTACCCAAGATTTATACAGGAGTCCAGGCTCGATATCGAGAGCAGATTAATGGTAGAACGAACTGCACCCAAAGGACATTGCTCATTAATGGTCCAATGCAATCGCCATTGCAGTCATTCGATTGTCTTTTACAGTGTGAAATTATCTGATGGGGATGTGTTCTCAAGAACTGAACTCAACGAAGCCATAAGGACTAAAGAGAGGCAGATCAAATTACCGCAGCCCTCAACGTTCTTCAATCATTCTGGTATTATACAAAAAGAAAGCAATGTACAGACAAAAAAAGAAGGAAAAAAAGGACCCATCTAGCCTCATCCAGCTCCACCAAGTCCCTGCCTTATCAGCTTGCCGAACTCCTCGTCGGTGGTCTTGAGCATCACAGGCAAGGCCAATCCGACCCCACTCTCGACCACTGCCACGTGCCTCGGCTTTATCCTCTTCTCCAAGCTGAAGGCGAAGTACTGAGGGAAGTCCCTCAGCTCCTCCAGCCTCCCGCCCATCTCCCCACGGAAATACTCGAACTTCGGCTTGAAGTTGTTCTCGATGCTGAATGTGAACAGGGCAGGACACCGCCGGGCCATCCCGACAGCCTCGTCCCGCGAGAAGCCGACGCTCTCCAGGAACCTGAGCTTCGGGATCAGCGTGTTCACCACGCTGGACACGAGCAGGATTGGGTCCTGGTAGGCCAGGGCGTGGAGGTCGTCGAAGCCGAGCCGCTGGAGGTAAAACAGAGCAGGCCTGAGCTGGTCTCGTACGCTCGAGACCAGCAACCTCGGGCACTTGTTGATGGCCCGCCGGAACCCGTGGTCGGGGACGCGGAGGTCCCGGGACAGGAAGCCGAAGACGGGGCAGAGGTCGGACTCGACGTCGGCGGTGAGGAGCCGGGGGCACATGCCGAAGATCCGGGCCAGGTCCTTCTGGTGGACACCCTTGGACTGGAGGAAGGAGACGACGGAGTGGATGGAGTGGAGGGAGGCGCCGCGGAGGGACGGGTTGAGGGCGAGGGCCCGGCTCGCGTCGATGCCCATGATCTCGAGGCAGAGGATCTTCTCCTTGAACTGGAGGGAGACGTGGGGGTGGGTCGGGGTGTAGAGCGGGTGCTTGTGGAGGAGGCTCCTGGGGACCTTCGTGGCCAACTGGGTTGTGGTGGAGGACGAGAGGGAAGACGGCGGCGGCGGCGGCCGCGGCGACGGCGGCTGCGGCGGCGATGGGTTGTGGGGAGAGCAGCGGATGGGAGGGTGGAGGGGCGATGCTCTCATGGCGGATGTCGAAGGTGAGCTGCTTCCCTGTTTTGGTTTGTTGAGGAAGACGATGCCGCCTCCTCTGGTTATATTTGTTCTTCTTTTCTTTTGTTTTTTGGTCTGGATTTGACACGTGGAGATTAGGCAGGAGGTTATTGGCTGGTGATGGATTGTGCGGATTATTGTTTGGGTGGTGAAGACTTAAAACTAGATAGCCGTTTGTACCGTTTGGGGGAAAAAGAAAATTAGGGACGACAGCCACCCTTGAAATCCTATAATTTACCATAAAAGTGTAATTAAATCCTGAAACCTTCCAAAAAAACACAATCAAGTCTTAAAACTTATAACAAAAGCGCAATCGAATTCTAAAACTTTTCAAAAAAATATAATCGAGTCGTAAAATTTATCAAATTTGTGCAATCAGATCCTAAAACTTGTTAGCATTTTCCGTTTGTTAAGTTGGACGGAGTTTATGAAATAATTCGATTGTACCAACTTAAAAAGTTTTACAACTTGATTAAAATTTTAGGACTCAATTGCACTTTCGTGACAAGTTTTAGGACTTGATGACACTTTTTGAAAATTTTAGGACTTAATTACACTTTTATGATAGGTTTTAAGACTTCAAGAACACTTATCCCAAAAAGTTAAGGGTAAAAAACATTAAGATAAAGGCGTTTGTACCTCAATTTTGGACTCAAGCATGCTTCATGTTAAGAGACTTTTTTCCTTTTTTTAGAAGGCTTTCCAAGGGAGGAACATACTTTATAAATGGAAAAATGACATAAATAATCTACGAACTTTAATCTAATAAGTAATGTTGTCTTTAGACTTTTATTTTGTTCAATATGATTCCTAAACTATTAGTGAATGCTCAATCTAGTTCCTAAACTATATAAAAATGTTCAATGACGTCTTTCCATTAATTCAAATTAACAACCTCTGCCGATGTGACTTTCAACCTGTTAAGTTTGAGCGGTGGACAACACAAAAAAAGTTACGTGGATTTCCAAAATAAGATATTCATCTCAAACTACAATATAATGATCTATATCATCAAATAATGATGGACAAATTAACGTCATAATCCTTTTGTTTTCCTTTTCTACAGTTGATAGATAACATGATGGAATGCTGATTCATTATTTTTAAAAATTCATCTCAACATATGAAATAATCAACGTCATCAAATAACATTTGATTTGTCATTTGAGCAATCGGAACGACTACATTAAACTAATACTAATAGTTCAAGAACTATATTGAACAAATTAAGAATCTAGGGATGACATTGCACATTAAACCAAAGTTCATGAATCGTTTATGTCATTTTTCCTTAAGGAAACATATATATCACATGACAGTGACGATGTGATACAATTGATCAGTGATTATTGACCATGTGATATGAATCTCATCTTACTTGACGCCATGTGTGTATCCATCTCATTTTTAATTTGTCTATTCCATCACGTGATTTATTGGTCATATAAAATGCATTCCCGTTAAAGTGATGGTGAATAGGATTCTGTCCTCAGAGAAAATTCCAAAAATCACCCTCACCTTTCAAGTTTTGTCCCTTTTTTTTTCACTTTGCATCATCTAGATCTAAATATATTCATTATCAATACTACTCTTTCGGGTAGATATTTCCTTCCTTGTCTCTCAATCTAAATTATCTCTGAACCAACTTATGATAATCATTTCAGAAATCATAAGTGAATCTATTGGCTATTTTGATCATTTGCTGCTTCCAATTGAAAACCACTATAGACCACTACTCCCTGCTATAGAATTGTTGTTAGTGATTCTCATACAAAAAATAAAATAAAATAAAATAAAATGTCCCCAATTGTATTGGAGACAAAAAAAAATCATAATTAATGCGACCTATTTTCATTTGAGATAATCAAGTAAATAGACAATGATGTGTAATGCCAAGCAATATTATCAATTAACGCGTGTGGATGACTAAGGGTGCGTTTGGCAACCATTCTGTTCCCAAAAACTGATTCTGCTAAGAAATGATTCCTTTTGATTCCGTACTCGGAAATAATTTCTAAGAATTTGAAGGCATTTGGTAATTGGCCAAAATTTCTATTCTTGAAATAGAAAAAGAATAGAAATGCCTTTGGTAACTGTACAAAATTTCTTCTTATTAATAATATTTTAATAATGTTTTGAATCTTTTAATATTTCTTTCTTTTTTTTTTCTTTCCCCTTCCCCTTTCTTGGCCATGGCCAAGTTGCCGGCACCGGCGACCGACCACAGGCTAGGGCCGACGAGGGTAGCTCGCGGCCCTTGCCCAGGCCACGAGCCTCCCTTGCTGGATTTGGTGAGGGCAGCCCTTGCCCAGGCCGCGATCCGCCCTCGCCGAATTTGGCGAGGGCGGCGGCGAGGGTCGCCCACGCCAGATCCGGAAAGGGCCGCCCTTGCTCAGGTGGCGAGGGTCCAGCCCTCGCCCTCGCCAGTAAGGGTCGTGACGCCCTCGTCGGCCTTGGCCTGTGGCTGGTCGCTGGTGGCCGGCCACAGGCTAGGAAGAAGAAGAAGAAGAAGAAAAAGAAAAAAAAATTTTCTTTTCCATTAATGATTCTTGCTCCTAGAATCAAGATGCAACTTTTTTTTGCTTTTTGATTCTGTTCCAAAACTGATTCTGGGAACAAATTTTTGTAAATTTGTGATCGGGAACAAAAAATTTACCAAACGGATTTCTGTTCCAAAATTGATTTTGGAAATAAAAGAATAGAATTAGTTACTATTTGGCCGATTGCCAAACGCGCCCTAAGCAACGGAATATGTCTAAGGAAAGAACATTAACTGGCCAAGCTTGCCTATCCGAGAAACCTTCCTTCTATTACTTTTAAAATTTCTAGCTAGAAAAATAAAAATGGAAAATAAAGGAAATTTATTTTAGGGCTTTGTGTTATTTTATTTTATTATTTCATCCGTAAGTTTTATACTATTTTTCTCTCCTGTACTAGAATTTTTGGGCTTAACTTGTCCTATTAGTGTCTATAAATTCTAGATTTCAAAGTAAAATTACTAATAAAAGGGAAAATACCAAAAACATACATTGCCATAACTTCCACTTATATACCTCTACTTTTGAAAAAAACCAAAACCATACTTAAGTGTTACTTTTCGAGACCATTATGCACCTTCACATCAATTATCATTACGTCTTTTCTTATGAAAATGATATTTCCTTTCCAAAAAACCTGTCCCAATCCTAATTCCCCACACCTACCCAAATCACCCAAAATCCAATTAAAATGAGTTTGCAAGGATGGGTAATTCGGCGTGAATGGTCTGCAAAAATAAGCATATCTTTTTTTGGTCGAAAAAACAGGCATTTTTAAATGGTCGGTTTTGACCAAAAACAAATGGTCGGTCAAAAGTGAGGTGCATTTAGATATATTTTGTAATTTTTTTAATATCTACAAGAGCACAACAGGCTAGCCTCAAGGAAGAAAATTGTTCTCTCTACTATGGAAGAAAATATTCTCTATATTCTCTGTCACTCATCTAGAAGAAAATTGTTATCCACTATCTTATGCCAGCATTTACTACCGAGAATATAACATCATCGCGTAAGTACAAAAGAGGAATGCTACTCATGTAATATTCCCAATGAATTTACGCAAAATATTATGGACTTCGATGAATATTGCGTGGATCTTGACAAATGCTATTTGTTTCTCTAACACCCCTTACAAGAGCCCATACAAACAAGGGCGCTCGTTCAAAGCAAACGACACACGTTTAGAAGAAATCCGAGAAGACACCAAGAGCTCTTCAGGCGCAAGAGAGTGCTAAATTTCTAAGAGCAAGTCATCCCTTTTGCTCTTTCTACCAGAAGTTGCTCATTATCTTACTCCTGAGTTGAAAGAAAGTCTGCGGCCGTCTTTGAATTACTCTTTATTGTACTTGCGTTCTTTCCAAATTCAAGAAAAAGCATGGTTTTCGACGCACCAAGACGTATTTCCTTCGGTTTCCGGATTTCTTGCCTGATCCTCTTCATCCCAGGCACTCCTGTCAGTACACAGTCGTATCTTTACACTTTGGTGCTCAGGTAGGGGCTACTACACTGCTGATAGCAAGTTTCAGGACAACCTCAACCGCCTCCTCTACCGGCGGCTTTACGACCGAGGACACATCTCCGGTTTCTACAACACGACAGAAGGCGAATATCCGGACAAAGTTTATGGTCTCTTCCTCTGCAGGTAAATCACATGCGAAATATACCCAAAGTTTCAACTTTTGAGTGATACCTTTCAATTCTGTCAGTATAATCTTTGGAACCGTCTCACTTGGTAGTTGATACTAGGATTTATAATGGAACTGATATATTGGTCTTAATTGATATCCTCTACAAAGTACGGTGATCCAATGCCAACCGAAAAATAGTATCCAGATTTAAGTGATTACTAATGCAACTTTACTATTCCTCTTTAGAGGGGACGCTGCCAATCTCTGTTAGTCTTGGATCGATTCAGCTACCAGCAACATCTTAGAAAGATGTCCAGGAGAGAAAGAGACGATCATATGGCACGATGAGTGTCTCGTGCGCTACTCCAACAGATCGTTCTTCTCTATCATGGAGTCAATGCCGGCTTTTTTTGTTGTCAACTGTTGGAAGCGAGTGTCGGGAGACTCGACTAACCTGTTCGATGCACTACGAACAAATTTTCTAGGATCGTATGTTGAATCACCAGCGAACGATTGGTCCGAATACAATCACAAGGAAAGTATTCTCGTTCCACAGCGTTAATGCCGATTGTCTTCTCAAAGTAGATACGGAATCTTTATGCGTCGTTCTTTGATGAAGAGAGGAGAGAGAGAGAGTGTGTGTTCTATTCTTCAGAACTTCCCTTAAGAAACTCCCTTCGCACCTCTTCAAAAGGTGTCTCTCAGACACACTTTTAATTAGAGCAAATGGTGCCCCTTGGACACACTCATCATGGGCGGACCGATGAAATATAACATCTCCCACTCGCACATGATGGGCTTGATGATGCTCTATCAAGAACATAAGGCATTCAACATTCATCTACCTTAGAAACAATTCATACTGC